ATTTCAGTATCAAAAATTTTTTTTGTATATTTGGAAAGAAAACAATACACATCAGTCAGAAAAACAAACCCAAAAATATGATTATAATCTCTAACTTTCAGAGGTTCAGAAGAAAGAAAAACATTTTTTAAAAAATATTTTTAAAATAAACAAAAAGAGACCAGACCATCCTACACACCAAAAAAAATAAAAGCCAGAAATTAAAATATTTTGAGGTGTAGACAGATTACGCTGACAAACGAAAAAACAAACAGCAATTGTAACTTAGTAGTGGTGATGTGCTGAGTGATTGATAGACATGCTGATCCCAACCACCCCTCACGCCCCCCCCCCCAAAAAAAAAATCTTCACAAAACAGACAATGCATCTTATTATAGGCTTTAGCTGTGATTGTGAAAATAGACCAGAAACGTGTGTTGTGTTGATAAATTGCCATTTTTAATTGTCGTTGATGTTCACTTGCAGACATCTTGGTCGCCGTCTTATTTTTCAAAAAGTGTCCATCTCCACTGTATTACAGATAGTGCCCATTGCGGGTCGGGTCGGGTTGGGGGCAATCGCCCCACTCGTCGCCTGAAAACATGCGCATTTGTTTTTGAGGCAATGAATCGGGCGCGATCGGCTTGTGCCACAATAGCCGCTTTGCGCCCTCAATCTGGCTAGCAAACCGACCCGACCACCCGATGGGTGAACATCAACAAGCCTTGGCCAGTTACCGGAAATGGATAATTATAGACTAAATATGCACTTGCGAAATCAAAGAGCTCTGTTTTCTTAGTAAAAATCTTTCGCTCTTTTGACAGTAAAAATATATATGATCGTTTTGTGATACGTGAAAAAACGCGGGGAATCGAAAATTATGCAAATATTGTACATTGGCAGAACATGGCGGTAGGCTGGGCTGGTGGTATAATGATGTCTGACTGACAATGAGGATCATTCTCTTAAAACTAACAAACCAACAGTCTCTCCTGTCAGTGCTTGGTGGGATGCTCAAGTTAAAAGGACAGAGTGCAATCTTAAAATGCAGGAATCCATTTAGTTAAAACAAAATTCCAGCCTGAGCTGGAACTAAATCATGACATAAAAGTTAAGAAAAGACTTCAAGTTGTTGTTATCGATCCAGAAAAGACTTCCAAGAAAGCTTGAAAATACTGGACAAATCTAAACAACAGAAGAAAAAGGAAAAGTGAGAAAGAAAAAAAGGGCAATCCTACAGCTTTTCTACCAGTGGCAAACAAGATGACCATTAAATCAATAGCACTACTAAATAAATTAATGGTGCCTACAAAATAAAATGGAAACAACCCACCCCCCCACCCCCCGAC